AGATCTCAGATATCTGTAAGAAAAATAGGGTTGCAATGGGAGGGGATTAACATAAACTGCAACTGCTGTGGTGCTAAGGGTTTGGATGGGGAGGAAATTGTTCAGTGCGTACAAGAAAACACTCTTATTCAATATGTGGATGTACCTATGAGAGAAGGTGCAATACCTGACCTTCTGTTGGGAAAAATAGCAGAGCAACTGACTGAGGTGTGAGTGGGAGAGCACCTTGGGACAAATGATGATAATTCTATTAGTTTTAAAATAGTTAAGGAAAAGAATAAAAGTTATCAAAAAGTTAAAATTTTAAATTGGAGTAAGGCCCGTTTTGACATTATTAAACAGGCACTTTCAAAATTTGGTTGGGGGAGGTTATTCCCAGATAAAGGGACGACTGAGAAGTGGGAGGCCATTAAGAATGAGACAGCGAGAGTTCAGAGACAGTATGTTCCTGTTGGTGTGAAGGGCAAGGTTGGTAGGTGTAGGCAAAGCTGGATGACTAGGGAAAATGAGGCTCTGGTTAAGAAAAAGGAAGCATGTATCAGGTATAAACAGCTGGGATCGAGTGAACCCCAAGAAGAATATAAAGGCAGTAGGAGAATACTCAAGGGAAATCAGGAGGGGAAAAAAGGGGACATGAGATAGCTTTGGCAAATTGTTAAGGAGAATCCAAAGAGATTCTATAAATACATTAAGACTAAAAGTATAATGAAGGAGAGAATAAGGCACCTTAAAGATGAACATGGAAGTGTATGTGTGGAACAACAAGAGATTGGTAAGATATCAAATGAATATTTTGCATCTGATTTACTGTGGAGAAGGACATGGAAGATAGGCAACTTGGGGAAATAAATAGTGACGTGTTGAAAGTAGTTCATATTAGAGAAGAGGAGGTGCTGGTGATCTTAATATTCATAAAGGTAGATAAATCACTGGAGCCTGATCAGTGTTTCCCACAACTTTTGTGGGAAGCTAGGGAAGTGATCGTTGAACACCTTGCTGATATAGTTGTATTATCAATGGCCACGCGTGAGGTGCCGGAAGCCTGGAGGTTGGCTGATGTGCTTTCATTATTTAAGAATGGCAGTAAGGAAAAGGCAGGGAATTATAGACCAGTTAGCCTTACATTAGTGGTGGGTACATTGTTGGACAAGATTCTGAGGAACAGGATTTACGTGCATTTGGAAAGGCAAAAACTGATTGGGGATTTGAAGAAGGGTCTCGACCCAAAACGTCAGCTTTCCTGGTCCTCTGATGCTGCTTGGTCTGCTGTGTTCATCCAGCTCTACACCGTGTTATAACTGATTGGGGATAGTCAGCTTGGCTTTGTTTGTGATAAATCCTTTACCTGTTGGTGTGAAGGGAAAGGCTGGTAGGCTTAGGGAATGCTCGATGACTAGAGAAAGTGAGGCTCTGGTCAAGAAGGAGAAGGAGGTATATATCGGGTATTGACAGCCGTGATTGAGTGAATCACGAGAAGAATATAAAGGCAGTAGGAGTATACTCGAGGGAGATCGGGAGGGCAAAAAGGGGACATGAGATAACTCTATTTGCCAAAGTTAAGGAGAATCCAAACAGGTTAATACATTAAGGGCAAAAGAGTAAGTAGGGAGAGAATAAGGCCCCTTAAAGATCAATGTGACCATCTGTGTGGAACCACAGGAGGTGAGTGAGATACTAAAGTAATATATTGCATCAGTATTTACTGTGGAGTGGGATATGGAAGGTAGGGAACATGGAGAAATAAAAAATAATGATGTCTTAAACAGTTCATATTACAGAAGAGGTGGTGCTGGAAGTCCTAAAACACATAAAGGTAGCTAAATCCCTGGGAGCTGATCAGGTGTTTCCCAGAACTTTTGTGGGAAGCTAGGGAAGTGATTGCTGGGCCTCTTGCTGAGATATCTGTATCATTGATGGCCAGATGCCAGAAGCCTGGAGGTTGGCTAATGCGGTGTTTAAGAAAGGTGGTAAGGAAAAGCCAGGGAACTATAGACCAGTTAGCCTTTTGACAATGTCAGTTAAGTTGTTGGAAGGGATTCTGACGGACAGGAAAGGTAACAATTGATTAGGGATTGTCGGCATGGTTTTGTGTGTAGGAAATCGTATCTCACTAACTTGTTTGAGTTTTTTGAAGTGGTGAGAAAGAAGCCCTGTGTGGTGGTCTCATCCCGGAGGGGCTGTCTCTACTTGGCATGGTGGTCTCCAGGTTTGGCCATCTTGACCCGGCGTGGAAGTCTTCTTCAGCGGTGGCTTCCAGGTATTCCAACAGTCAACTTAATCGACTTCCCTGAACTGAAATTGATCTAAAGTGAACTCTGTCTTAATTTATACTTTTTTCTTATCTATGACTTCTGTGACTAATACAGTTGCCATGGTATGACAACTTATAAAACTTCTCACTTTTTTTCTATAAAAATACATGTGACAATAAATTACTATTCTTTTCTATTGTGGCCAGTAGTGTGCCACAAGGATTAGTGCGGGGTCCACTGCTTTTTGTCATTTATATAAGTGATTTGGATGTGAACATAGGAGGTATGGTTAGTAAGTTTGCAGATGACACCAAAGTTGGAGGTGTAGTGTAAAGATCATTATCTCAGGGTAAGATGGGACCTTGGTCAGATGGAGTGACAGATAGAGTTTAATATAGATAAATGTGAGGTGCTGCATTTTGGTAAGGCAAACCAGGGCAGGCCATATACACTTAATGGTAAGGCCCTGGGAAGTGTTGCCCAAGAGACCTTGGGGAGCAGGTGCATAGTTTCTTGTAAGTAGCATCACAGGTAAACAGGGTGGTGAAGAAGGCATTTGGCACGCTTGCCTTCATTGGTCATAATACTGAGTATAGGAGTTGTGATGTCACGTTGTGGCTGTACAGGACATTGGTGAGGCCACTTTGGAATAATGTGTACAATTCTGGTCATCCTTCTATAGGAAGGATGTTGTTAAACTTGAGACAGCACAGAAAAGATTTACAAGGATGTTGCCAGGGTTGGAGGGTTTGAGCTCTACGGAAAGGCTGAATAGAAGGGGCTTTTCTCCCTGACATGTTGGAGACTGAGGGGTGACCTTATAAATGTTTATAAAATCATGAGGAGCAAGGATAGGGTGAATAGTCAACTTCTTTTTCCTAGTGTGGGGAAGTCCAAAACTAGAGGACATAGGTCTAAGGTGAGAGGGGAAAGATTTAAAAAGGATCTCAGGGATGACCCTTTTTTTCATGTAGAGGGTGGAAGGAACTGCCAGAGGAAGTGGTGGAGGCAGGTACAATTACAACATTTAAAAGGCATCTGGATGGGTACATGAATAGGAAGGGTTTAAGAGGGATATGGCCAAATGATGGCAAACGGGAGTCGGTGAAATTGGGATGTCTGGTTGGACTGAAGAATCTGTTTCTGCGCTGTATTACTCTATAAATGATCCCATACTTACCTCCCACTACACCTTTCCCAGCTACTTGCAGCTTGCAGATCTTGACCTTCCTTTCTATGCTGTGGACATGCTCAACCCTTTCTTCACTTCGTTTTTGAATCCTTTTCCCTTCACTAGACCTGACCACCTCCAGATCCAGGGTCAATACCTGACCCCCTTTGGTTGCCATTGGACATACTCCTCCCATTCTTCACACCATACCCAATTCCTTTCCCCCTTCGGTAGATCCAATCATTCCTCAAACCCTGAAACCCATCCACCTACCATAAACACCGCATCATCTACCTGGGCCCCCTTGCCTCTTGGCAACTTACCCCTTCCCACTTGGCATGCTATCCACATGGCATCCTACTAACCTAACATCTTACCCCCAGATTCCTTCACAGCTGGCACCCTACTCTCCCAGCACCTTTTACGTACTTAACTTACATTCTTAATGCTAGACAGCAGCTGTCAAAGTGACTGTCTAGACCTTGAAATATCAGAATACCTACTTGGTAGTGACCTAGTGGTATTATTGTTAGACTACTAATCCAGAGACCCAAGCAATTTTCTGGGCACAGAGGTTTGAATCCCACTATGACAGATATTGGAATTTGAATTCAATAATAATCTGGAATTCAGAGTCTAACAATGACCATGAGCACTGTCAATTGTCAGGAAAACCCTTCTGATTCACTGATGTTCCTCCCTGGTACATGTAAGTCCAAAGTAAGTCACAGCAAGGTGGCTGACTCTTAATTGCTCTCAGGGCAATGCCAATAAATGGTCAATAAATGCTGACCTAGCCAGTGATGCTTACATTCCATGAATAAAAGAAAAGCATACTGCTACAGACACGGGGCATGGTTTGCCTTCCCCCGATATTTCTCCATCATAAAGAATGATCAGACTGGAAGTAGAGCTCTGCATTTCTGAAAGAGCCCTGATTGGATTCTCCTCTGAGAAATGTGAAGCTCCCTCATTGTAGTTTAAAAAGAACAGCAATCTGAGATTGGGCTAGATTTTCCAAGCAGTGGCAATCTACCTTTTTTTCCCATAGTGCTGGTCACGGGGTAAATTAACCAGGACACAAGAGAAGAACTCCCTTGCTTTTCTTTGAATCATGCCATTGGATTTTAAAAGTTTGACATTCCATCTGAAAACCACCTCCAACAGTGCAACACTTCCTCAGCACAGTAGTGAAGTACCAGCTTGGATTTTGTGCTTGTCATCACAATTAGATTGTGCTCTTATACTGTATATTCAATCAGGAGAGTACAGCAAAGTTTAAGAAAACAGTAGTATTTGGAGAATCAATAGTCAGGATTGACAAGGTCTGCAACTGATCTGCATCTGGCATGTTATGTCGATATTCTATATGTTGATCCAGTTGGATACAGATTCAAAAGTGTTTCCTTCTAAAGAATATTGAATAAGAACTTGAATGGGAAAGAATATTTCTAATTACAGTAAACTGCACTTTGAAAAAGTCGGTGCTGTTTCAATGAGATATGAGATCTCATTCTCAGCAGTACTTTTCTATTCAATAATGGAGTAAAAAAAATTGCAAAGTCAAAACCATTTCATTTTGCTTTTGACTTCAAGTTATATATTTATTTTCATTTTTGGTGGTAGGTATTGTGCATCCTCTCTATGTCTTGCATTTCTATCTGATTCTTCACTAAGTTGCTGTCTACACAGTGAAAATTCAGATGATGAAAAAGTGACATCAGCCACAATGATTTAACATATACAAAGCACAGATACGATGCATTTCAAAGATTACAGCACAGTTACAGATTTCTTTAAGATACAGTGGTCAGGCTGTCACATTTCACAGCCTGGACTGGAAGAAACTGAAAACTGTCTTTCTGAAGACTCTACCATATTTTGTAATTGTTTACTAGATTGCTTACAGTTGTAAAGAAGTCACATAATTAAGATCTGCTTGCTGGATGTAAATGGTGTTGTTGCAGCTTTGAGAGCAGTCCGATAGTCCTGGAATTTAACCTTCGTGCAAACTGGTGCCCTCAGCTTCCCTGCTTGAATGAAGTCACACAGCACGGAGATCATCTCCTGCACCAAGTCTGACAAAATACAAACACAACTTTGAGTCAACTACGAAGGTTATAATTTTCTATATTGTTGCATTACACCAAGGCAGCACAGGAACAACAATGTGTAAACGATCAGAAAGCAGATCCGTCTCTTCATACTTACTGCACATTGTCAGTTGCGAGGCATTAGATAGAAGTGGCAGAACCACCTTGTCCTCTGGATTTACTGCCTTTCTGAAGCATGTGATAATGGCCCAGCAATTTTTTACAGTAGATGTGCTACTTGCTTCTCCAGTCATAATTTTTGCCCAACATACCAATACGACATAATGAAATATCCATGGTGGAGCTTGGCCTGGACTCTGGTCAGGGGAGGGGGTAGTAAGCTCCACATCCTTATAAGTTTCTTCACTCCTTTCTCTGACAGAGTAAGTAAAGTAATGCACAGATAACTCAGTGGTTAGTACTCAGTATTTAAGGGAAATCCCGTAAGAACATCTGCATTTGCACAATCTGTTCACTTATTGTATTTAATATTGTACTGATGAGCCATCAAAATCAACACCCATCTCTTCAGCCTTACTATCACTCAGATGGTATCCTTTCGTTGAACGAAATTTGATTGTAAGGTTTTGGTGGCTGATGAACACGTTAGCTACCTATCTGACAGGTATTTGGGAAAGTTTGTTATATATGCTCACGAAGGACTCTTTCTCATCTAGAGTAATTTTGCTGACTTAATTAAAGTGCATGAACTATATGCTAAAGGCTTCTCCACATTATCTTAAGCAGGATCATACTACATCTACCTCTCGTAATGAGACATTGCACATTAAAGCCACTTGTTAGTGGTTAAAAACAGCATCACTAGTTAGTAATATGTCACTATTTACTTCCTTCAATTCTACAAATGTTTTTGACATGCCACAGTCACTCTCAAGGTATTCTATCTTTGAGCAGTTGATACATTGGAGGGATGTATTAGCCAAGTCAGGGATGAACTTTGAATAATACATAATCCCTGAATGTTTTGAGACCTTCATTGATCTCTGATGCCTCTGTTTTCAGAATCTGCTCAACCTTCTCTGATGTCAGGTGGATACCCTTGCAATATGGTACGTTACACATAACACCATGGAACAACACTTGCAAGCAACAAAAGTCAAATGGATAACTAAGTGCCATTTTCACTTCTGAAGCCCTACTCTTAAAATGCATCACGGTAGGCCAAGCAGCATCATAGGAGCAGAGAGGCTGACGTTTCGGGCCTA